AAGCACCTTAAGAGACTACTATAAGCAACTCTATGCCAATAAAATGGACAACCTGGAAGAAATGGACAAATTCTTAGAAAGGTATAACCTTCCAAGACTGAACCAGGAAGAAATGGAGAATATGAGCAGACCAATCACAAGTAATGAAATTGAAACTGTGATTAAAAATCTTCCAACAAACAAAAGTCCAGGACCAGATGGCTTCACAGGTGAATTCTATCACACATTTAGAGAAGAGCTAACACCCATCCTTCTCAAACTCTTCCAAAAAATTGCACAGGAAGGAACACTCCCAAACTCATTCTATGAGGCCACCATCACCCTGATACCAAAACCAGACAAAGACACTACAAAAAAAGCAAATTACAGACCAATATCACTGATGAATATAGATGCAAAAATCCTCAACGAAATACTAGCAAACAGAATCCAACAACACATTAAAAGGATCATACACCATGATCAAGTGGGATTTATCCCAGGGATGCAAGGATTCTTCAATATACACAAATCAATCAATGTGATACACCATATTAACAAACTGAAGAATAAAAACCATATGATCATCTCAATAGATTCAGAAAAAGCTTTTGCTGAAATTCAACACCCATTTATGATAAAAAACTCTCCAGAACGTGGGCATAGAGGGAACCTACCTCAACATAATAAAGGCCATATACGACAAACCTACAGCAAACATCATTCTCGAAGGTGAAAAACTGAAAAAAGTTCCTCTAAGATCAGGAACAAGACAAGGATGTCCACTCTCATGACTATTATTCAACATAGTGTTGGAAGTCCTAGCCATGGCAATCAGAGAAGAAAAAGAAATTAAAGGAATACAAATTGGAAAAGAAGAAGTAAAATTGTCACTGATTGTGGATGACATCCTAAATATGCTGCCAGAAAACTACTAGAGCTAATCAATGAATTTGGTAAAGTTGCAGGATACAAAATTAATGCACAGAAATCTCTTGCATTCCTATACACTAATGATGAAAAATCTGAAAGAGAAATTAAGGAAACACTCCCATTTACCATTGCAACAAAAAGAATAAAATACCTAGGAATAAACCTACCTAGGGAGACAAAAGTACTGTATGCAGAAAACTATAAAACACTGATGAAAGAAATTAAAGATGATACCAACAGATGGAGAGATATACCATATTCTTGGATTGGAAGAATCAATATTGTGAAAATGACTATATTACCCAAAGCAGTCTATGGATTCAATGCAATCCCTATCAAACTACCAATAGCATTTTTTACAGAACTAGAACAAAAGATCTTAAAATTGGTATGGAGATACAAAAGACCCAAATAGCCAAAGCAGTCTTGAGGGAAAACAACGGAGCTGCAGGAATCAGACTCCCTGACTTCAGACTATAATACAAAGCTATGGTAATCAAGACAATATGGTACTGGCACAAAAACAGAAACATAGATCAATGGAACAAGATAGAAAGCCCAGAGATAAACCCACGCACATATGGTCACCTAATATACGATAAAGGAGGCAAGGATATACAATGGAGAAAAGACAGTCTCTTCAATAAGTGGTACTGGGAAAACTGGACAGCTACATGTAAAAGAATGAAATTACAACACTCCCTAACACCATACACAAAAATAAACTCAAAATGGATTAGAGACCTAAATATAAGACCAGACACTATAAAACACTTAGAAGAAAACATAGGAAGAACACTCTTTGACATAAATCACAGCAAGATTTTTTTTCTTTTTCTTTTTTTTTTTTCTTGCAGTACACGGGCCTCTCACTGTTGTGGCCTCTCCTGCTGCAGAGCACAGGCTCCGGATGCGCAGGCTCAGCGGCCATGGCTCACGGGCCCAGCCGCTCCGCGGCATGTGGGATCTTCCCGGATCGGGGCACGAAACCGTGTCCTCTGCATCGGCAGGTGGACTCTCAACCACTGTGCCACCAGGGAAGCCCAGTGAAGCAATTTTGAACAGAGTTTCATTTCAAGGTGTCTGCAAACCAGTAAAAAAAAATGCTGCCCATTGAGTCTAAGAAGTTTATTCTCTTTCTTTTTTAAGGCACCTCTCAGATGAACAATTTTGTTCAAGCCCATTGTTCCACACGGTGGCAATTGAAGGCCCAGATCATCCTTGGGGAAGTTATGCCATTTGAAACACAGGTGCAAGAATTAGAACTGTAATGAGTCGACATATAAGAAGTAGGAGTTCTTCCAGAAGGAAGAGAGGAATTAGACTTAGCTGACCCCATAAGAGCTGGCAACAAACAGTCCATTGAAAGTCATGCTGTGCACTTTGAGTCTTGAGCCCCCAGTGTGATGGTAACTGCCTCCAAATGTAGACCCAACAAGCTACACCTCCAGGCAGGTGTAGAACCAGAGAGGAAGCTCTCTGTGGATCAAAGCCAAACTCTGGGGACCAAAAAAAATTGAAACACAAGGATAGTCTTATCTAGGCTAAGCAACATACGTCCAAAAGGATGCCAGGCAAGTGAGAACCGTACTGGTCTGTGAGACCAGCTTAAACAAAGAGCTTAAAAGGCCTATGCCTGTGTTCTACTCTGTGATAAACAACACTTTTAGATGACATAACATAAAACAGAAGCAGAAAAGAGAGCAAAAAAAAAAAAGGATAGAATGACCTGACCCCACCAGAGATGCCGAACAAATGGGAACGAATAACAAAACCGTGGTATCAAACTGAGACTCGATAACCAAAGAACTCAAAGCAAAGGGCAGAATTCAGACCCAGTGCTGACTTAACTTACCATGTCAATGCCTATAAGTGGACTCGGTGGGTACTGCACCTGGTTGAAGGCTGGAGTCCTTGATGACAGGCAGTGCAGACAACATCTCAATGGAACCTTCAGGAACACTATGGAAATAAGGACCACGCAAGGAAAACAACCAGAAGTTATTTATTCAGAGCTTGCTATAGTAAGCCACCACTTGTGTTTGGCAGAGACTTAAAGGCAGGGGAGTAGGAAAGCTTTATAGTGTAAAAAAGGGAAGGTTTTCAGAAGTGCTCTGATTGGATCTTGGTGGCATGGAGAAGCTGGAAGCAGGCGCATTTTATGGTTTGTAGAACATATTTGGCTTCCTCTGACTGATCCTAAGTTGGAAGCAGGAGCAAAAATTGGAGAAGCTGGCAGTCACTGACCAAGTCCTGACTGTTCTGGGCCATTTGCTACAGAGTTTGTGGTTTGGCTTCCTGGACTGGCTGGTGCAGAGGTTGTGGGTCGGGCGTCTGTCATCATACATGGACTGCCCATTGTCTGTTTGTGTGTTTAGTCTCTCACAGTGGAAGCTGGGCATTGTAGATATTTTTAAAACCTGGCTGATGGACCATGTTTTACTTTTTAGCTATTGAACAATATAGTCAGATAATAATATTTGGTCGTATAACATTTTATGCTTTCTAATACTGACACAGTTCCAAATACGTTCTTCCCCTACCCCCCTTTTATCCTTACAGCGATCTTGTAATCCTGGGGAGGTTAATTACCTAATGTCATTCATTGGATTTGGGCTAGAGTTAGGAGTCAGTCACAGTATAGCCTGATTTGCAATGTAACACTCAAAATTGTCTGGTATAGATATCATCTATAATGGCTTTAAAATAAATATTTTGGGCTCTAGGGGATAAAGGGTCTGTTCCAACTGTTTCTAAATTCATTACTTAAAGTTAGGATAAATGATTGAAGGGTCATAGCTCCCTTCAAATCCCTACAAGGCTGTCATGTGGAAGAAGGATTAAGTTTATTTCTACGGCTCCAGACGGCAGAACTCACACCAGTGAGTGGAAGAGAGGCAGATTTCAATTTAAAATGTGAAATATCTTTCTAATAATGAGACACTTGCCCCCCAAAGAAGGGGTCACCTTGTGAAAGGGCCAGTTCCTCACTCCTCTTAGTGTTTGAGTAGGACTCCATGATCCTACTCCTCTAGAAAGGGCTTGAACTGGCCAGGGCAGCTAATCTCAAAGGACATCATAAACTTCAAGTTCATGAAACGTTTTAAAATTATATAAAGAGGCATAGACATTTTAAATACAGCAATTTAACATCATTCAAATTCTGGATGAAATTATCATGCTATGTTTCTCAAAAACGATCAGTTCTATTTTAAACTTTACCCCCAGACTCTTCTTTGAATCAGTATCTTTGTCCTCATGCCCATATATTTTCAAAAACATTTTTTAAAAAGTAAAAAAAAATTTAAATTCTAATAAAAGTACTAATAGGAAGTCATCTAATTCAATCGTCCATCTGCATTGTTTTCTGATTGTGCACTTATAACTTTAAACCAAATGTATTGCGCTCATTGTTTTTGATGTTTTAATAACTTGTAGTAATTCAATAAGGTTAAAAAAAGAGAGAAACACTTCCCATTGAATGGTAGGGAATGCTAGGATTTTAATCTGTAATTCTTTGAACATGATATTTTTCCTTCTTTGTGGCTTCTTTTTTAATGTTCCCTCAGGTTGAACTCAATTATATTCTTTTCTAGTTTACAAATAACTTGAAGCTGAAAGAAAAGAGTCCTCCTGACTTGTGACTGATGTTCTGCCAGGACTTCCGAGGGATCCTCTTCTCAACCCACCCTTTACCTGCCTCTTCAACTGTTTAAATTGACTCCCCTAATTTTTTCCTGAAGGGTATCTCCTTTTGATTTGGGGCTGCGGTTTCTCTCCTGAAAAACAATACAGAATCCTGGGGATTCTGCTAAATCTAAGAAGTCATTGCAGAGGTAAAGTAGACAAGAAGTTAGGGCAGAAGTTGTGCCCTCTGCACAAAGCCAGCTGCTCTGGGTCGTCTTTGACAACTTCCGGGACTAGACTTAAGGCGGTGTTCGAAATTGTTTTCTTTACCATATCTATTTGGTTTTTTATGACTGTACATATTTACATACGTACACGTATGGCGAGGGAGAGAGAAAGTGATGACGTGAGGCTCCTTGAGATTAGGATGTGATAAGAAAATAAAGCAGGTGGCTGGGAAGGGAGAAGGGAGAATTCTGTTAGAGAAGGGAGAATTGAGAGTTAACCGTCATTCAGACGAGCAGGAGGTCTCTGCAGGTAGCAGTCTGTAAATGCGAACTTGTGCACCCTCTTTGGGGACAGGCTCTGTTGCTTTCTATTTCTTCGCTTGCAGCCGCGTGCCTATTTATTTGAAACTGACTGAATTTCCTCTCAATGGCTGGTCAGGTTGATTCTTCAAGACTAGTGGATATTTCTTTTTAATGTCTCCAACGCATTTTCTTTCTTTCTTTCTTTCTTTTTGAGGTTAAGGGGGAAGAGATGGTTGAAATTCTGGCTGGGTAAGCTGGGGAATTCTCAGAAATGAGAAAGGGGGAAGGAAACGGACTTAGAAGCCGGCAAGCAAAGCAGCAGCCCCCGGTCCCCCTATCTTCCGCACCCCCTACCTCCGCCCCGTGACCTTCCGTGGAGACCCCAGGAGGCTGCATCAATATTTGATCAGCCTTTCGCCAGCGCGTTGCCAGCACTCGTCGGCAGGGCTTGCCGGGCATCGCCTGCGCTGCGCTGCAGCCGGCGCCGGGGCCCGCAAGGGGCTTTGGAAGGACCGGCTCTTCGCTCGCCCGCTCCGCTGGGGCGCGGCGCCCACCACCCACCATGCGGGGCTGCACGCTGCTCTGCGCGCTGTCCTGGCTTCTGCCGCCGGCGGCACCCGGGCTCCCCGCGCAACCCTTAGCGCGGCGCCACGACCCCCGCGACCCCGTCAGGGGCGCTGAGTTCGATCGCATCTACAACGGGGTGGTGAGCCTCAGCACCGAGAACATCTACTCCTTCAACTACACTAGCCAGCCCGGCCAGGTAAGACACTCGCTCCCTTCGCTCCCAGGAACTTGCCAGACCTCAGAGCCCCGTCGCTGCTCTGGGTCCCTGGGGAATCGACCTCGGGAGACCACAGGGACCAAGGGACCCTCGTTCCCTTTCTCCTTCAAAGCAATCACTGCCTTGCCCAAGCTGCCGCATCCTCCCCTACCGGCCTCGGGGACACCTTCGCCTCCTCTCGCGCCTTCCCGGCCTGGTCTCTAGCATCTCTGGGCTTTGCAGGGGCGCTGGTTCCCCGCACCGTCTGCGGGTCCTGGCCCCCTGCTGGGCCCTTCTCTAGGGAGGTCACGATTTCTAAGGCTGAGGAGGGAAAGGACCGCACCTCTGTTCCTAATCCCCTGCGGGGAAGGAACCTCATCTTTTTTGGATGATTCTGCCAGACTTCTATCTCATAGCACATGGGGAGGGAGAGCTGCTCAGAATCTAAAATGGGAATGTGTGAGAACAGACCAAGCTGCAGAACCTCTGTGTGTTCAAGAGTCACTGTCTGCGTTTCTGTACCGTTGTCACACGTTTGTGCTTCAGAGAAGCCAGAAGACCCAGCCAAAGATATTGGAACTGCAGCCATCAGCCGATTTATCGAGGTTTTGATTTTATACAAGGATGGATAATTGAGTGAAAGTTCTAGACCTGTTTCTGACAAAAATTGAGGTGAGACAAGGGAAGGAAAGGACTATTCCAGCAACTACTCCTTTGACACATATACTCTGATTGTATAATGTAAGAAAATGCATACAGTTAGCTTTTCCCCTCTAATAGGAGGCACAGAGAAAAGAGAAAACTCCCCAGTGTACCTGCCTCTAGATCTTCTTCCCAGGAATGTATGTGAATGAATGTGTATATATGTGTATACATATGTATGAATGTATATGTATCCCTTACTATGCCAGCATTCCCTACTCATTGGGGAAATTCCAGAACCAGATGATTGGGATACCATGCTATGCCTCCCTAACTCTCACTTAGGATCAAAACTCAGAAACCTGGTAGCTTGGGGTAGTATTTAGCCAAGAGGGACCAGTGTGCCCATCACCACTCCCAGACATTTCCTAAGTGTGTGTACTGAGCAAGTGCACCATCTCCAGTCTGGCACCAGATCCTAAGCTTGGTCTTCACCATGGACCATGTCACCATATTCTTACCCTGTCCTGTCCCTCGCTGACCTTTAGGTTGTACTCCTGAAGTAAGCAGAGTGGCTGTGTGCAGAGCCATTCCACTGTAGACAAGTCGGGGGGGGTGTCAGTTTTTACTCCCCACATTCCTTGTAACCCACCTTTTCCAGTTCTGTGTGCTGTATGGACCAGCTGACATTGCACCTGAAGTGTGTTCCCAGCCCTGTTATTGGCTCAGAATAAATAAATGTCTGAAAAACCCCATGATCTCTGGGGTGTACTGCCAGTTTCCCCCCAAATCATTGGTAAGGAAACTCAAATGATGTGTGCAAAGTAAGACCCTACATCAGGCTTTAGTATTTCTTACACTGCTGCTTAGAGATACAGTGACTGCTTTTTTACTGTTCTTTGGACCTTTTTGGCTGCAGTATTCAGTGAGTTCCTCTACCTCAGCACACGTTGCACTGTTTGCAGTTAGGGTCACCTACTTGACTTTCCCAGAAAACCGTGAGATATTGAGGATGGGGGCAGAGTCATGTCCATCTCTATACCCTAGTACCTAGCACAGTGCTTGACACATAACAGGTTTACTAATGTTTTTGAAAAAATGAATAAATAGTTGAAAAAAGATTTAAGGATTCTTTAAGCTAAACCTAAATAAAATATACTTTTTAGTAGGTTGAATGTGAGATCATTTCAGATAAAAACAAAATTTTTCAAAATTGTTCTGGGATTATGCTCTTTCCACTTTGCCTGTATGTATGTTAAAATGCCCTTTATTTTATGAAACAATGGTGATAATTAGTTTTTAAAATATCTTTGCATAATACAATAAAAAGCTGACGGTCCCTAAATTTTACTAGTCTGAGAAATATAGTTGGAAACCTTAGGACTAGCAGAAAACTCAAGTGTTTTAATTATTTTAATGCCAGTATGCAATAATATGAACCAGATGTCCTCAAATCTTACAGCCTTCTGAAACTTCTCTTTAATGTGCAAATAAGACAGTGGAATCCTCAATCAATTTACTTTGGAAAATTGCCCTTCTCTTCCTCCAGTCCTGTATTCCAGTTGCTTTCTCCAGAAATGGCATTGTTCTGACCTACCCATCCAAACCATTATTCTGTTTCTCTTGATGGCCTCCTCTCTTCTTGGTCCCTTTTGCCTCATGTTGGAGACCAGCGCCCCCTCCTTCTAATACCATGAACACAATCCTGTTGGATATAGCAGAATTTTACTGAAGGTTTGGAGTAACATAAGGAAATTGCAGAACAGCACAGAGTAGGTGATAGATTAAACCAGAAATCTAAGCAACACTGTCATAACAATTTACCAGCTATTCCTCCACCAGGAGAAATATCAGGATGGTGGCACTATTTTTCAGGTCCTGGCTTGTCACCATCTTCTTGGCCACCCCTCACCCCAAATGCTGGCCTCTCAGTCTCTAAATTTTTGATATTCTCTCACGTCAAGCAATTTTGCCTCCATGACCAACCCCAAACTCACTAAAGAACTCTGCTAAATAAAGAGCTATGAGCCCAAGAGCAGAACCTTTTTCCTTTAACCTGAGCAAAGTCTTAGTCAGGGCTCTCTCCCCTGCACATGTCATTTCCCATCTACCTGTCTTCAGTGCGACTAAGAATTTGGTTTAGACATAGGTGTATTCTTAATTGGAAAACTGAAAAATATTGAATGAAATACAAATAACAGTGTTTATATTGGCACTAATGGACATGTAGCACATGAAATCATTAAATTCACACTACAGAGCATTATAAAAAGAAGACTTTCCTGAACTCTTTTTCAAATGCTTCCCATTTCTTTTCCAATGAACATAAATTTTATTTCCTAATTTTCACGTAGCATCTAGCTCTCCAGAGAGCAGCTCTCCAGAAATCTTGACTTCACACAAGTTTTTCTCAATTTAATTAAGTACATTTTATTTAAAGATTTTTCTTTTGGAAAAGACTAATCATCATTAAAATTACACGGGATGTTTCATATAAAGACACTGTCTGCAAATACTGACTATAATGCTGTAAGCAAAGGAAGAAAAAATTAACACAATGTGGATAAGTGCATTTAAAAAAAAAAGGAAAAAAAAGAATTCGGTTTAGGAAAAAAAAGACTAATTTTTTTCGTTTTAATCTTTTTTCCTTTTCACTTCAAGCCATTGGTATATTTGCCATTCTTTTTCCTTCAGCTTGGAGGAGAAAGACTCTTCTAAGTTTAGGCTTTGGTGCAGAGAGGAAACCGCTATGGGAGACTTTGTTCCTAACCTCTCCTGTCAGCCACTGCATCTTCCATACCAAACGCTGTCTTGGAGAACTATTTAGCCAAATGTGTCATGCTAATTAGCTAAGCTAGCACCTGGAAAAGTCTCACATGCCTTCCAGGCTGAGAGTAATGTAAATATGAAGTTGCCGTTAAAAGAAAAATCACTGAAGGAATGGAGTGACTGGTTTAAAGAAGTATAATGAAAATAACGATTGAAGGTACAGGTCAGGCAAGATCGTGGTTCATTTCAGTCCCTGGAGGGGAAGTGTCTGGAGACTCCTTTCAAGGGGCATAGGGTTTCATTTTGTCAAGGGCTGGGACCAAACTAGAAGGAAATCACCTTGTTGAGAAAATTGTCAGAGATGGGTTTGACTGGGACAGAGGGCATAAAAGCAGGTTTATTGGGAAATGAGAATGCTCTTGTAGAGACACGTGGCGACAATAATAAGATGTTTATATTTGAGCTAGATGGTGATAAGAAGCCCTTAAATAAAAATCTAACCATGACCCAGCAAGAGGTCCTCTCTGAGGCTTTCAGTGACAGAATTCATTGTTTGCCATAGATTTTTGAATTTGAAATGTTTCTCTGGACTTATTTCTTTTATTTTGTTTATTACACTGAGGCATTTATCTTTTAATGACATATAGTTGTCTATGCCTAAGGAACAAATCTTGGCTTTATTAATATCAACCAGTATCTAGAATCAGTTATACCAGCCTGTCAGATCCAGACTGAAAAAGCCTATCCAATTCTCATGAACAGGACATTCCAGGGGTAACTTCTAGCTGTATACATTACTACTTAGAAGAATTTAAAATGTTAATGCAATAGCCTCAGTTCTCTCCAAGTCGTATGTACTCTCCCCGTTTTCTTTACAAAATGAGGCAGAGAAACCTCCTCTGCTGTCCTCCCACATCTCCTTACTGAACTGGACTGGTGCTTGTTTGGGAAGAATCATCTCATTAGCACATTACCTGGGTGGTTGGTCACTGTCTCAGTCAGTTCAGCCTGTTAGAGTACCATAGACTGGGCGACTTAGGAAATAAACATTGATTTCTCACAGTTCTGGAGGCTGGGAAGTCCAAGATCAAAGTGTCAGCAGACTTGTATCTGGTGAGAGCTGGTTTCCGGGCTTGTAAACAGCACTTACAGATATGTCCTCATGTGGCCCAGAGAGCAGAGAGAGTAGCCAGCTCTCTCCTGTCTCTTATTATAAGGGCACTAATTTCGAGAGCTCCAACCTCAAGATCTAATTAACGTCCAAAGGCCCTACCTCCAAATACTATCACCCTGGGGATTAGCCTTCAACATATGAATTTGGGGATGTGGGGACACAAACATTCAGTCCGTAGAGTCACCTCTCACATTTTCCTGCGTGGCTCTGAAAAAAGAGTATTGACATGTCATAAGGGTATTTAGGGGCTGACATTACTCCAGTTATGAGTCTGATTTTATGCAGGGCCCATCTTCTGCCTGCCCTGACCTGATAATCATATGCTAAACTGTACAATGGACCTCTACCTTTGCTACTTGTGCTGAACTTGTTTTTCAATTCCTTTTTGTTTCTTGCTGAGTGCCATGTCTATAAG